CCATATAGTCTTTATGACTAATATCACAATATGCGTTTCCTGTGCAATTTGTGCTCCAATGTTTATCCATGAAATGAGGAAATCCACACTCATAACCACTTCCGATTCTAGAATAAACGAGATTGTTACATGAATGACATATTGCTATACTTACACCTACAGCATGACCAAGATCGCCTTCCCATAAATATTTCATTTTTCTGGCAATAAGATATCGCTTTTTATCATCAGTCAAATGATTATTATTCTTATAATTCGTCAACTGATCCCAAATTCATTTTATCCAATCAGATGGAGTTTCACCTTTACAAATTACTGGAAATTGACAGTTATCTCTCCATTCAATATCGCTCAAAACTGGACATTTATTCGTATAGACCATATTTAATGATTAAGATAATGTTAATGTTTTTAGAGATTATGTGATTTATATCGAATTTAAGGATTTAGACCTATTTGATTTAATACCTATATACTCTAGAATAAGTGGATTCATTTTTTGTGCGATTGGGTTCTTGGACCATCTCTTCGAGAGTGTTATAATCGTCATATTTTGCGAGTGATGTATATGATGAATGGGAGAGATCCATATTGGATTGTAGTGATTAGAGTTGATTCTAAAGAATCTATTTGTGGCAATATTTATGTATAAATCGCTCGTATATATATTATCTAATTACTCATTGAAATCTATTTCGGACATGTGGGATCTATTTTTGGTATGTAAGATCTATTTCAGTATGAGAGATCTATTTCGGGTGTACTACAAACCTTGTGATTTAATCTTCTGGTGTCATGTGTCCGATAAATAATGTGTAATGATTATCAGAAAAAGTTATACTATCAAATTATATAATGAATATCAAGTTAAGTTGGTCAATGACATTAATATTCGAAATCAGTAGTCTATGCTTTCACTGTTACTATTTGGATTGAATTTTGATAATTCTTATAACCATTGATATGATAAGTATTTGTATTGACATAATCACCACTACCCCATTCGCCTTTTACATCTTCTTTCTTGTGATCTTTATTACATATCTTTGAACAAGTAAAGTAATTGCCACACTTATTACTGTAATTAAAAGATAAATAAGGAAACTGCTCTAGCACTTTGTTAATAATGGATTTTTGCTTCTCTTCTGGATCATTGGGTAAAATAGAGATTGGAGGTCGGATTTTGTTAGATGCATTTATCTGGAATGGGGATGGTATACTTGCTTGAGATGTGGCAATCTTTTCATCGATACTAGTATTTTCTTTGCTATCTAACCATCTGCTTTATTATTTACACCTGCAAATTACAGAAAATATAGTAAAGTCTTATGCTATGTATATTTGTGACCATTAATTATTTGTTTACACAAGTAATATTAATAGCAAACATAAATCGAAATTGAGAATAATACAACATAGAAATCAGATCAATATTGTTTCTTTTTTGAGTTCTTTTTTTTCAAATTCTTTTTCTTCTTTGCAACAGGGTGAATAGGATTGTTAAAGGTTAGTTCATTTGGTGAATCTAGGAGAAAGAAACTAATTATAAGAATTAAGATAAAAAAAGGAATGAACAACATCTCCACATACCATTCATAAATTCTTCAAATCTGACAACAGTCCAATCGATCTCTAAACCCCACTTTGTTTGGCTAGTCTTTGTTGCCTCATTCCAATAATCCCCAAGCATCCATAAAACATAACACATTGAGTCCCATATGAACACACGACTGTAACAATCCAAAAAAAGAATTCCAGCATGAAGTTCTCCGATGATGATTATATGATCAAAACCATAATACTCTTTAACTTGTTCCATATAACAAATACAACCAGAAAAATCTCCGGGTTCGAGTTTACAGTTAAGAGAATTTGCAACGCGTTTACGATCTGATTTATTTGCGATCATTTCAACTATCATAAGTGGAGACTTCGGATTATTGTGACCTTCTCGAGGTTCATCCTGCTCTTCACCCTTCGGCACTGGAGACATGGTTTCCGAAATTCTTTCTTCAATAGATTGAATGTTTGGGACCACAAAATGACATGGTGTTTTCGGTTCTTCTTTCGTCCATGCATGGCCTGCCAAGGTACCAATTCGGCGCAGTTGCCCAAAGGAAAATAGCGATGATTGGATTGTCTCCATGTTTGGACAACATTCAAATGGCACAATTGTAGGATTGGTATAGATTTTACCCTCAACAGTACTGCTGAATTGTTGATCTTTTGTGACATGCGGACTGACGCCCCGAACATAAATTTTACAATCTTCACCTTTTCCGCTGAAATCATTATATTTACTGCTGTTGGGAGATGCGAACTTTCCGTATTCATCATTGTGATTTTGTCGGCCAAGACAATTAGCATTCTGGAAAGTTATTTTTTCTGATTTTGAAGTTCCATTTCCTCGAAATCCTTCATTTTCATGATGTAGATTGTCCAAAGAAGGGCTACTGTGTCCCATATGGTTATTATTGGAATTGGTCGACAATGTGGTGGTTTTACCATCTTCTCCTCGACACCAAACGGAACATATATTGGGTTCCCCTGTATTGGATTCCTACATAAAAATGTTTCGCTAGCTATACCTACCATTTCGAAATAGTGCAAGATTAAAAATACCTGAAAGGTTCTATGAACTCTCTTATCAGCTTTCTCGTCCATTTTTCTTGATTTAAGTTGTCTAGCCAGGACCAAGCGTATAAACTGGGAATAGAAACTGTTAATACAAAAAAGTGGTGAACTGTAGTACTAGCGCTAGTTTTCAAGCCTACTTTTGGATATCCCTGGGAATATCGTTATCCATTCAGGTCTTTGTCATACATGCAGAAGTTCTATGACATTCGATTTTTTTCTGTCGTAAAACCCGTGATTATTACCTGAAATGATTTTCCCAAAAGCAGAAAAAATTTGCACGGTCCGGAAAAATGCCAAGAAAACCAATAACTGTGTCACATATAATAATAAGGGTGTTCCGAGCCGGAACAGTATCACACGACATATCACGTGATGTAGCACAGTAGATCAATTTATTGGTTTGGGTAACGTTAAACTATTGGAGAATTACACATTCAAAGGGAAATTTTTTATAATATATGAGACCTCATCTCTAGTTAGATCAGAAAAACTGGATGCAGTAAAAGATCTAATATTCAGGATTTTATCTTCTCTGATCTTATTAAATATGTCATAAATTTTTCTAGCCGTATCTGTTCTTTTACACACCATAGTATCTTTAGTTTTTTTTGGAAGCTTTTCCTTAACTTCTTTATTTAACTTTGTACGTGCTGTCTGTGGGGGGTTATTCTTTAACAATACAGCAAGTTGTTCTGATAGAGCTCTCCCAAACCGGAAGTAGCATTGAATTACATCCTGGTTCTCTTGATCACCTTTCTTTTCAGCAATATCAACGTCATAGTATAATTTATGGAATTGATTAGATATTTCACCAATATTGGTGGTTTCAGAAGGAGCGCTTGCTTTTGGTTTTGTGGCCCTTTTAGTCTACTTTTACGAGTATCCCCTTCTTGCATCTTCCTTTTTTTCTTGGGTGTTTCATCGACTAAAACAGTAGGCGAGATATAATATCCTTCTTTTTCCAGATCGTCAATAGATGGGCATTCGGGACATAGCTTACGCTTATTGTCAATACATTCGAAATGCACAACATGGTTACATGGCAATAATATGACCGGCTCCAAAATTTCCAGGGAGATTACTTCAGAACACTTGGAACAATTCCTGGGCTCACCTTTAACCTTGACATCCCTCATTTCCTCATCTTCTTCTCTGAATTGAGCTGAAGTTGATTACTCATTCTCCTAACTATTGATGAAGTGCTTGACTGAGACGATTGAGAAAATCTTCGTTCAGTGGCCACAGGATCGACAGATTTATTGCAATCAGAAGTGGGACATATGTTCGATAGAAAATTTTTCTTGATACATTTTCTATGGTAGATATGTCCACAGGCAAGGATTGTGAATGGCTCATAAACAAGTCCAAGGATTTCATTTCCACATTCTCCACACAACCCTATTTTGACAAAATGTCTATCTTTGACAACTACATCACCAAGTTTTTTTAGAATGTTATATGCAAAGGATCGAAGGTTGGATAGAGACATAGGACCAAATAAAGTTTATATAGCAAAATTTTTGTATACTTAACTCATTTTTATATACTACACTTCTCCCAACTAATAAATTAATTACTTTGGCTCGGAATTTACAGGTAATCGTAGATGATTCAGCTGAAAAGCAAAGGTTGGCATTAATTTCACAAAACAGCGATGAATTAGCTTAGTCTCTTATGATAATTCCTGATTTGCATATCTCATAATGATGATCCCAAATGAAAACACCCCTTATTACTATGCATAAAATCAATTATTGGGAAAGAATGACCCTTTGTTTGAAAAAGTAATAGCGGAGCTAGTGTCTCTGACACATAAATTTTTAGTACTTTGTGCTACAAACTTTGAGTAATATATTGTGGAATGTACCTTATTTGATTGCTAATATTGCATATTCCGAGATCGCCCATAGATAATAAATTAACCCAAATAATACTTCAAAAATCCTCCGGATATACAAAAAGCACTTTCTATGGAAGATCGTTCATAGATAATAAATTAATTTCATACATAAGAAATATTACTAGATTTCATTTGCTGACATTATTAGGTTGAAGTACTGTTGATGTACTGTTGATGTACTGTTGATATACAGTTGATATACAGTTGATATACAGTTGATGTACTGTTGAACTATGATTGAATAATACTATATTTCATAATGTAATCACGGTTAATGTACTGTTGATGTACTGTTGATATACAGTATGCATAATAATGAATGTATTTTCCCGCCTTATTACACTCTAAATCTTATGAGCAGTGTGTGAAATTGTGTGCGGGCGCGTGTGTTACATAAAAAATGCGCACATTTGTTGATCATCACCAAAAAAATTTTTTAATGAAAAAAAATTTTAAAATTTGAATAACTATTTATAAAATTTAAAATTTATATTGAATAACTATTTATTCTTACTTTTTTATTTGTCCAATGTTCATATGCTTTTTCAAAATTAAAAT